CTCGGGATTTTCCATCCAGGAGGCTTATAACGGGAGTGCGGGTGCGGGGTGAGGAGAGAAGCTAATAATCAAGGTTCCTGAATAAACTGCTTTGAGAAGAATCCCGGGTCGTGTCTTCCTTGCTGGTCGAGGTGGATGCGACAAGTGGTGGCCCGTACGGGGAACTAACTCCACAAGGGATCCAGAACTTTTAGCAGTCAGGGTGGTGCACCGGTAAGTTCCCAGGTAAGTGGGAATCTGCGATTAAAGCGGGCATAATACGGGGCTCTTCTCTGTAGATAAAGAGAGAGCGGAAACCCGGGAAAAAATAAAGGCCTAAAGTGAAAGTAAGAATATAAATATAAAAAATAAAAAAGGGAGTAAAAGAAGATAAAATTTTTATAACTAAGATGGGCACCGCGACGTCTCATCCAATTTTTCTGGCCCTGAATGAGCTCCTACGCTCAAAAGGACTAAAGTTTAAGAAGGGTGTTTTACAGAGTTTCCTTGAAGAATGCAACATTGTAGCTCCTTGGTTCATAGTGTCCGGGAGCCTTACAGTAGCCTCGTGGGAAAAATTAGGGAGGGATTTGGACTTTGCCTATGAACAGGGCACATTAAAGGCAGGAGTCCGCACCATTTGGAAACTGATAAGGGGCTGCCTGGAGGACCAGCGCTGCTGTGAGGTTATAAAAAATGGACAGTCAGCACTGGAGCAGTTACAGGAGGAGAGGTCAGAGAAGGCGATCAGTGAAAAGGGAGACAGTAGACAGGGCAAAAGGGGGCAACTATACCCAGATCTGTCTGAGCTGAAATCGGAAAGAGGAAGTTCCAGCGAGTTAGAGGAGGAAGAAGTGAGAGCACTTATTCAACAGATGAAAAGGAGTCGTATAAAAAAGGGAAAACATAAGCTAAGCCAACCTGTGCTTAATGAGGATGTGGAAAGAACTTTTGGTCAGGCCCCTTTAGATGACGTAAAAGGAACTTCCGGTCAAGTCCCCTTAGGTCCTCCTCCATATCAACATGGAGCCAATGGGCATACGTTTTGCCTGGATACTTGGCGGACTGCCCGAGCAGAACTCGCCTTCCCAGTTTTTCAAGACGGTAATCAACAGAGATTTCATGAGCCTCTAGAATTTAAAGTAATTAAGTCCCTGGCTAAATCTGTTCAGACGTATGGGATTACAGCCTCTTTTACCATAGCTCAAGTGGAGGCTATAAAGAGATACTGCATGACCCCCTCTGATTGGGCAAGCCTAGCACGGGCATGTTTGAGTCCAGGCCAATACTTGGATAGGAGGGCATTTATGCTGGAATTTTGTAATGAACAGGCAGCCATCAATCAAGCAAACGGAAACCAGGCTTGGGATAGAGATATGCTCTTAGGACAAGACCGCTTTGCTAATGTGTGTGGTTTCCCCTTTTGTGTTTTTGGTAATTAACAACATCTCTGTATGCTCAGATGATGTGTGTGCTTGCACTAATGAAACCTGCTATTATGCTACCTGCTGGAGTTCTCAGTATCCGTTAGCCATAGTTACACACATTCCGCGTTGGGTGCCTGTGCCAGTAGATGCTTCTCAAGCTGTAACCTTGTTTAGGCATAAGAGAGATTTTGGCATCACTGCGGCCATTGTAACTGCTATAGCTGTAGCTGCTGCGGGTGCGACGGCTGCCGCTGCCGCCATGTCGCATACTGTGCAGACGGCTCAGACTTTAAATAATTTGTCGGCTACTACAACCAGAGCTCTGGATTTACAACAAGTGGCCATTGCACAATTAAAAGGAGGACTGATGCTGTTAAATCAAAGGATTGACCTTGTGCAGGAACAGGTTGATATCATGTGGCAGTTGGCTCAGCTGGGATGTATTCAAAAATATGAAGGGCTTTGTATTACTGCTATTCGGCACTATAACTATACTCAGGCAGCAAATTTGTCTAAACAACTGTCAAGTTATCTTTTAGGCAACTGGACGGGAGAATTCGACCAATTGATGTTGCAGCTACGATCGGCCATTGTCGTGGTAAACTCCACCCGGATGGATGATGCCCTGTTACAAGATGTTTCCTCCTGGATTTTGACAGCTGTGGATCATTTAAAGGAGTGGGCGGGATTAGGCTCCCTTATCGGTATCCTGGCATTGGTGATCTTGCTGTGCCTGTGGTGCATATGCCGGATTAGGAGCTCGCAGCGCAGGAGTATGGCTATGGTGGTCCAGGCTTTCACTGCCATTGAGGCCAGACAGTCCCCCCACGCGTGGCTTGCCACGTTAACGGAATAGCACAGGGTGTAAGGCAAACGCACTGCACTTGGGCAAACGCACTGCACATGGGAATCACTTCCTGGCGTAAGCCCAAGAAGAGCATGTTGGGTTGCAAGTGGGTTGATGCCCAAGGTCCCACCTCTGCAAAAAAGGCATCGGACGGGCCTGGTCATCACTGGGGAAGGCGCCCCTCAGGCGAAGACCAGTGCAAGGTCCTCTCATTAATGTTTTAGACAGAGGCCCAACCTCTACTCTTACCTGTCGCTTAATAAAACAAAAAGGGGGAGCTGTGGAGAGCTGCGGGAGCCGACCAAAGATGGCACGGCCGCATGGCACGGCCAAGCCAAAGATGGCGTTGGCTTCCGCCTTCCGCCTTCCCGATGGCAAGTGCTCTCTGTGAAAAATAACTCCTTATATGGCTATGGCTTGGCTCCTAGTTTGCTTCCGTGTTTGCAGCCCTATTGGTATATGCCACGTGGCACCTCGGGATTGGCCATCCAGGAGGCTTATAACGGGAGTGCGGGTGCGGGGCGAGGAGAGAAGCTAATAATCAAGGTTCCTGAATAAACTGCTTTGAGAAGAATCCCGGGTCGTGTCTTCCTTGCTGGTCGAGGTGGATGCGACAGGTTAGGAAATGGAAAGACTTGGAAAAAATTATATTAAGTGAAGTAAGCCAGGCCCAAAGAAACATAGGTCCCATGGTTTCCCTTATTTGCAATAACTAGTATATGTCTGAGACAAGCAGAAAAGGTCAAATAAGATGATATTAAGCAAAATGAACCCCAAGATAAGGACACAAGTGGTTTTTTCTTTCTTGCTATTGTTTCTAATGTATTTATAAGGTACCATGTAATATTTTTGTTGCTTTGTATGTCCCTCCCCCATAGTATAACCCCTGTTTGCCTTGTATTTGATGTTGTTATAATTTGTGGAGGGGAAGGGAAAAAACAAATTGTTTAAATAGTGATATAGGTTGACCCATTGTAACAATGAGATGTACAAGATGCTATGTTTAAAAATGAACGTTACAGTTTAGGCAGGGATGGTGGGGAGAGGTGTAGTTGTGGAGATGGGAGGGAAGGGATGGTGGGGGAAAAACAAAGGAAGAGGCAACAATGCTTGATAAGAAATGTATTGATTATCTTGCTCATGTGGTCGTAACCCCTCTGTACAGTATTTTCACAATAAAAAACTTATTTAAAAAAAAGAAGGTCTGTGTTGGTTTCTAGCAAAGTTACCAGAAAATGAGAGAATAGTTTGACATTCTATTTACAGTGCCCTCTTAAAATCTTATTTATATTCTAGAAACTTAAGCTGTCCCAACAGTAAGCTTTTCAAATGAGGCTTACCTAAGGCTGCCATTGGATAAACAGAAAATGCAGATATGAAGAACAATAGGAAAAAATACTTTTGAAAGAAGTTAGGAGTCCAGGGACCAGACATAATGGTTCATCATCCTTAAAAGTCACTTATCAAGTGGAAATATTTCTATAATCTCAATAATTTAGAAAATTATCTCTTCAATATAATTGTTTTAAATTTAATAAGTCTTCAAATTACTAAGGAAAATTGAATAATATATTGGTTAATGTTGATGCTAACTATGATAAAGTTACTTAGTACTCATTTTCTATCTGAAAGTTACAGTTCTCTTCCTCCTCCCTCTCCTTTTCCTTCCTTCTCTTCTTCCTACTTTAGTTTACAAGTTGATACATTCTTTTTTTAACAGCTAACCCGAATTTTATTGTTTCATGAAATCTATGCCAAATAACTCCCTAGCAATGATTTATTGAAATTATTAGTGTTTACAGTGAATTTTATCTAATTATAGATTTGATTAAATATTACTTTATTACTTCTTGTATTTGTCAAATACTGTTGTCACTTATAAATTTCTTCCTTCCTTCCTTCCTCCCTCCTTCCTTCCTTTCTTTCTTTCTTTCTTTCTTTCTTTTTTCTTTTCATTTCTTTTCTTTCTTGTTTTTGTTGGTCTTGGGTCTTGAACTCTGGGCCTGAGTGCTGTCCCTCAGCTCTTCAGTTCAAGGCTAGCACTGTACCACTTGAGCTACAGCGTCACGTCTGGTTTTCTGGTGGTTTATTGGAGATAAGAGTTTCATGGCTTTTCCTGCTCGGGCTGGCTTTGATCTGCGATCCTCAGATCTCAACCTCCTGAGTAGCTAGGATTATAGGTGTGAGCCACAAGTGCCCGGCCATTTATAAATTTCTTGATTGCAGAGATTTGATTGAAATGTTCTTTTTTAACATATATTTTCATCTTAGCTCACTGCTAATTTGAAAATAGATGCTTGATTAACACTTGAAATTAGTTCTAAATATTTAAAACTGAATACAAACTCCATTTCTTCCCTCTGACTACCACTATCACAATCCAGTTATCAGTTTAGAAGAGTAAGAGAGGAAATAATTCCTTGTGAAGGGCCACACAAGAAGTTTGGTAGGAAGCAGACATCAGCTCTATGAGTTTCAAACTCAATCTTAAACTCAAAACAAAAGGCCACACAATCTCAGTCTGTCTAATAAAATTAAGAAAGCATTCAGAAAAGCAAAGCTTCTTTTGTCCCGAAGGAAACTCTGTGGCTGTGTCTTCTGTGGCTGTGTCTTCTTTAAGTAAAGTAGAGGTGATGGGTCTCATTTGAGGGTATCCAGCCCCAATTGGCTGGAGACAGAGTCACTGTAAACATTGTTGAACTGGGACATATACCAAGCATCTGGGAGAGCAATACTGTCTGGCTTACCTTGTGTGGAGAGCTCTACAACTCTGCAGAGGCTGCTTGTTTTGTTGTGTGTGGACAGCTGAGAGTCATTTCCTGGTCTTTATTTCAAACGAAGCTGGATACTCCCTTTTCATTTTTGAAAAGTAATCTGTGTGAGAAGGGAACTGGTCTGTTTACCCAGTGGGCTCGGAGCCAGTCAAAGGCCGCCTACATTTCTTGGTCCTTCCCATCTCTGTTTCCCAACCTCCCTTTCTCTAAGATGGTCAGATATGAAAAGTTGCCAGTCGGCATGCCAGAACTTCAAAGGGGTTTGTCACAAGGGCACACAAAGACTCATTTGTTCAGATCTTGGATGGAGATGCCAGTGGCTTCCAGGCACACAGAGAATCAAGGTTTGTCTTCACTCGATTTCCCGCCTGCTCCATTTCCCGCCTGCTCCATTTAGATGATGGGGAAGCGTTTCCTGTTCATTCCCTGGCTTGGCCAAAGGGAGAATGACTGAAGAGAAGGACCTTTTCGGCCTTCTCACTTGCCTCCATTTTTAAATAAACCAATAAGATCAATTCTGCATCTGGAACTAATTAAATGATAAGATTTCTCAAATTCTCTCTCCCCTCTCTCTCTCTCACTCTTGTGTGTGTGTGTGTGTGTGTGTGTGTGTGTGTGTGTGTGTGTGTGTGTGTGTGTGTGTGTGTGTGTGTGTGTGTGTGTGTGTGTGTGTGTGTGTGTGTGTGTGTGTGTGTGTGTGTATGCATATGCTGGTAATGGGGCTTGAATTTTTCAGGAACAGGGAACTCTCCCTTAGCTTTTTCATTCATGGCTGGCTCTCTAACACTTGATCCACTGTCTGACTTTTTGCTGATTAATTGAAGATAAGACTTTCATGGACTTTTCTGCCCAGGCTGGCTTCAAACTTTGATCCTCAGAGCAGATTTCTCAAATTTGATTTACCATTAATAACTCTGAATTAGCCCATAAAATTTAGGGAGAAACATGGTAGGTAACTATCTAAGAGTCTAATTCTTATATCTTAAAGGTATTTTAACAGTGTCTTTTCCAAATAGAAATACTCTTCCAAATATGGCACACTGAATAAAGTCCTAGCTAAAATACTTGAGATTCTATCATTCGTGTCCCTTCCCTTAGCAGAAACTTACTTGAAGATTTCAAACAGCCCTAGGAGCATAGTGTTGTTGTTTGCAGTTATCTGCTGCTGGTGTTGGGGATTACTGGGCACAGACTTTGGTGAAAAAGGAAGGAGGACCCTTCTGGATGAGAAGGACATCAGTCAGAAGGCAGATAAGGTGATGAACCTGAATTTGTAACCTCTGACTTCAGTGAGTCTACCTGAGTGTCTGCATTGTACATTTCACTTTGGGAAGAACGCTTGAGATCTACCCTCTTCACAACTTAATATCAGTATTGTTTAAAGTACCAACATTGGTAAGTACAAGTGCAATGTCATACAGCAGATATTCTGGATGAATTCAACTATATAACTGAAACCTTGTACCAATGAATAGCAAGTCCACTTTTCCCTGTTCCCAAGCCCCAGTAATAACCTATTCTTTGCTGGGAGTTTGACTATTTTAGATAGATAAGACAACACAACAGGCTTATTCTATTCAGGACAAGGCCTGACATCATAATATCTCAGGCTCAGCACCCGAGATTGAGAGTTTCCTTAAATTTTGTGCCTTGGAAGCCAAACTTGCCTCATTCTGGTGGCCGGCCCTGTTGCTAAGACAAATAAGCACTATGCACAAGGTTTATGCATTTCTGGTTCCACAGAGAGATCTATAGGTGGGATGCTATATGCTAGGAAGATGAAGACAAGTGATTCCATCAACTGTTTGATTGTAGGTAGCCGTGATTATTTCCTCAGCATCATTTTCATTTTGGAAATACAACTAATGTTTGCTGTGTCAAGAATTATGCATATATATTTATATACAATTACGTATGTATTATATATAGTTATATATAATTCTTGACACATAAAACAGACAGTAAGTATATATTAAACATATAACATTATATATTTATATAATATATAATACAAATATTAGCTAATAATCTCTCCTACACTGAGATGTTATCCTATCACAACTTCTTAGATGCTGAAAGAAGCCACAAACCTTCTGGATCAGAGACAGGAGGCTTTGTTATTCATAGCAAGGGTACTGGCCAAGGTGCTAGTGTTTTTATTGGTTCCTTGAGTAGATTAGGGCAATATGACGTGAGAAGGTTAAAGAATGAAACTATTTTAGAGGAATCTTTGGCATATTTGTTTCCTGAGGTTTTTGTTTTTCTGTGATAGAAAAAAAAATCCCTCTCTTGTTTAAAACCCTGTTACACTTGTATGTTTTGCTTATATAACAGCAAACTGAATCACTCTGCATGTAGTTTGGCAACTGGAGATAGAGGCAGCAACAGAATGGGGTCTGCATTCATGGTGAGCAGGTATTTGCATGGGAATGGGAAACTTACATATTGAGGACTGGACAATAAATACTTCTTATTATGAGTTAGGAAAATACCTGAAAACTGTATCATCCACTGTTGTTTGGAAGAAAACCACAAAGGAATTTGAGCTAAGGTAGTGGAGAAATGGGGGGAAATTTCCCAATGTTGCTTTTTCTTGATATTTTCAGCAAAGTTGTATGGGAGTGAGAGATGAGCTCAGACTACAGAAGGTTAGACATCAAGCAGAGACAGGAAACTCCTCTTTTCTTGAGAGGCTGTCTGTGTAAGTTGTCAGTGCCTCCTGTCATAGATGTTGAATGTCTGAGACAGCCTGCTCCTGACAGCAATTATGAATGATAATACTCTCTCGTTGGTTGATTATTAATGAAAGCTCTCTGGAGATAGTGAGAACTACATTGAAAATATGGATCTAGGTTTCTTATCCTGAAGAAGGCCCAAATGTCATTTCCTTTAAGATGTTGAGCATTTCTTTATGTGTTTAATGTGTTTATTGGCCATTTTTGCTATGACTGAGAAGACACTAGCTCCTTTGCCCATTGATTAATTGGGTTATGGATTCTTTGGGGGTTTGTAATTGAGCTCCTGTGTATTCTGAATATTAGGCCCTAGTCAGATGTATAGCTGACAAAGATCTCCCATTCTGTAGGCTGTATTTTAGCTTAGTACCTATGTCTTTCACCATGTAGACATTTTTTTAGCAATCCCATTGGTCAATTGTCTCTCCTACTTGCTGAGCCCCAGGAAGTTCCTACCTGTCAATGAGGTCTAATGTTTTTCCTGCACATTTCTATAGTAGTTCCAATGTTTCAAGTTGTACGTTCAGGTCTTTGACTTGATTTTGAATTGATATAGTACAAGGTGATAGACAGGGATCTAATTTCAGTCTTCTGCATATAGATATCCAGTTTTCCCAAAACCATTTGTTGAAGAAGTTACCTTTTTTCCTGAACATATATTTTTTTGATTCCTTTATGAAACATCTAATGATAAATATATGTGAAAATATATTCAAAGCTATACACACATACACAAATATATTGACTGTGAAGTATGATATCTTCAGGGGAAGATTTTGGTGGTGTAACTCCTTTGAACAACTAATTTAACTAGTTAAAAAAAATGAATACCAGGCTGGCTGAAACATGTTTTTTCAGAGGGGGCTAACACTCAAGGGGAAGGGAGATAGACAAATGGAACAAGGAAGGGTAGGCGAATACAGTAATAACATTCATATATTGTATATTAATATATTATATATTCATAAATTATGAATTATATGAATGCTAGTTCTTATATGAACACACAAATTATATAATATTCAAAATACTGTATAACCACTCATATATATATATATCTATATCTGTCTGTCTATTATCATCACTCAATATGTGAAAATGCAACCTTGAGGAGGGGGTATGTGGGATTGGGAATAGATGAAGGGAAGAATGATGGAAGGGATGGCCTTGATCAAGATGCATTGTACATAAATTAAGATGTAAAATTGAAACCCCTTTATACAATGACTTAAAGATAATAAAACCCACTTTATGAAATGTCATCCAGATACTCTCCTTTTATTTGGAAAAGAGCAATAAAGAAGAGAAGAAAATATAGAAAAGAAAAAAATAAGAGTCACTAGACTTAAAAAATAAATATAGACAAGATCTTAGCTAATTGTGTTTGAAAGTAATTGGAAACAAACATTTCTTCTAAGATGATATTGGCAAAGAGACCTCAAAGTTGACCTGTATTGCCCTTTTGCAATGCAATCCCTTAAGGGAATCTTGGTTCCCAGTTGGAGGTGGGCTCTCAAAGCCATGCAGATTTCCAAAGTCAGACCTTCCCAGACCCAGTTGACTGTGGCCATGGATGATAGTGAACAAGGGGAAATATTCCAGGAGAAAAAGCCAAAGGTCCGGGTAATGAATGAGAATATTTTTGCATAAAGTAGAACCAGAATCTACCAGAGGGGCCAAGGAAAGAAATGATTTCACTGCCAGGGCTGGGCATCTTTTCAGCTCAGCGCAGCTGGGTTTTATCAGTGCCAAAGCTAGTGAATGTGGTATGTTTTCCATGCTTCCCATTCCTCTACTGGAGTTTTTCTTTTTAAACTTGGCTGTATCACTCCTTTTCTGCCTGTGTGTTAAGTGTGTTGGATGCAGAATTCTCAGAGTTTATAGGTCACCAAAATGAACAGTATCTGGACATGATGGGAAAATAGTACACTGGTGCTAGATGAAATGGTTGGGGAAGACACAGGGCTCTCCCCTATAGAGTGTGGTTGTTGTTGTTATTATTATTATTATAACTAATCATTAAGTAGTTGTATACAGGAGCTTCAATTCAACATATCAGTTTATGAATAGAATGCCTCTTGATCAATGTCACCCCTTCCACCATTGTCCCTCATCCCTTCCAATCCCACCCATCACCTCAATTTACCTGGCTCCATTCTCCCATATGAACATTGAATGTTATGACCATATTGATCCACCCTTCTCTCTCCATGCTTCTCCCTACCTCTTCTTCACTCCTCTTCTCAGGACAGCAGATGTTTCAGCATCCTGGTATTCATCTTGTTAAACTGTAAGGAGTTTGAAGGAGTTG